ACATGACAAGAAATCTGTAATGACTATATCTGTTTTGAAAGGCTATTTTTGGAATATCTTCTTCCTTAATTCTTAACTAATGACACCCATATCTGAGGTCAATCTTAGAAAAATGCATAGCTCCTTGCAATTGATCAAACAAATCATCGATTCTCGGAGTGAATACTTGTTCTAGATGGTTACCTTATTCAGTTGCTTGTAATCAATACACATAGTCAATGAACCATCTTTCTTTCAAAAAAAATAATATTTGGGATCCCCACGGGTAAGTACTAGGTCGAATAAAGCCCTTATCAAGAAGGTCCTTCAACTGATCTTTTAATTCCTTCAACTCGGCAGGAGCCATCATGTACAGGGGAATTGATATCGGCTGCATATCGAGTGGCACATCAATAGAAAACTCAATTTTCCTCTTGGGTGGAATACCTCGGAGCTCATTCGGGAAAGCATTGGGAAATTCACTAATGACCGGAGCCGACTAAAGGGTGGGAGGTTTCGCCTTCGCGTCTTGCACCTGCACCAAATGGTAGAAACATCCTTTCACGATCATATTTCGAGCCTTAAAGTAAGAAATAAACTTCCCTTTTGCGTTGCAACATCTCCCTACCATTAGATAATGGGCTCCCGAAAAGTAAAAGCAAACTACTTTCTTCCAACAATCCACCGTAGCATAACAAGAGGCTAGCCAATCCATGCCCATGACATCAAATTCTATCATTTGTAGTTTATTCAAATCAGCTGAGGTATGGTGATCATGAATCACCACATCACAACCTCGATATACCCGCCTAACTTCCATAGACTCACCTACGGGTGTGGACGCTTCAAATGGTTGTTGTAACAATTTAGGTACTTTACCACATTCACCAGCAATAAATGAAGTAATATACGATAGGGTAGAACCTGGATCTATTAAAGCATACACACTAACAGAAAAACATAGATAATATACATGTGACCATGTCCGGGGATGACTCTAGGTTTTGTCGACCTAATAACACATAAATTTGGTTTTGTTGTAGCCTGATCTAGTCAGTCTACCTCTACCTCTACCTCTTCTCGTCGGCGGTTGCATACCTTGCTCATGAAATCGTGCTGATAACGAGGAAGTTGCTACAGACCCTATTGGCGGCATCATATTTCCCACATTCCTTATAGGGCAAAACACATCATGTGACCGGCCTTCCCACAAGAATGGCACAAAACAGAACCCTGATGTCAGTTCCTAAAATGATTTCTACCATATGAGCCACAATGCGGCATCGCGGGTCTCACCCTACTAAGATCTCCACGATTCTGTGAGCTCTCACCTTGAAAATTCTGGCCCTGATATAAATAGGTGGTCCATTCTCAATGTTGGCCCTGGCACTGTGATGGCACACTAGCCACCGGATTAGGTCTATTCTCGAGCGGCTCACTATAGCCTCTTGCGATCTTCCAAGTTCTGCGCATAGGCTTGAATACAAGCAATATTCATGATCAGATTCGAGGAAGATATGGTACATTAATTAATCAAATGTGGGCCTAAATCTCCCACAAATAGATGTACTCAGTCACTCATCTTGGCAACTACCGAAGGAGCATACCTAGCCAAGGAGTTAAATTTCATGATGTACTCTCGGACACTCATATTACCTTGCTCCAACCATAAGAATCTATCATGTAATTCTCGATGGAGCTCGACGGGCAAATACTACTGCAAGAATGTCTTAGAAAATACTACTACTGAGGTAATAGATTCCCTAGACTATTCCTAGGTCTCATTCAAAACTACCGCTATATCCCGCAATCTGTAAGAAGCAAACCCTAGAGACTCAGTATCAGTGGCATGCATAACTCGTAAGGTCCACTACATCTGATCTAGAAAATTCTGGGAATCTTCATCTGTTCTTCTGAATACCGAGGGGTCCAAATTTATGAAATCCCAAACTCTCGTACTAATTGCTCTATCTACGGTGGCATGGGCCTGATGTTGGGCCTGAGAGGCTACCAATAGAGTCAACAGTTGTACTACACTTCTCATATCTACATCTTGGTCAGAAGCAACCGGAGGAGGAATAAGAGGTACATTAGTTTCTCTATGCTGCTTCGGGGTTGGTGGTGTTGTCCCCAAAACCTGAGTACCAGCCTCATCTGTGGTCCATGTTGACCCAAAGGGGCAGGTGGCACTTGACTGGTACCTTATCCTGATTCTTTATTTAATCTCTGAATAATTGCCTGACATCTCGTTGTAGGCATCACTATAAACATAAACAATATGGGGATTAGAAGCGGATACTTACGACTCAGCTCTATCGCACGATCTAGATAAAAAAAGGGTATTCACCCTAGATACACGGTTGCCTCCTGTTTATAAGTGTTGTGCACAACATACCCATAAACAAGACTCTACTAGATACAGCTTGTAGACTCTCTAGGATAGACCTGCTCTGATACCAAGTTTGTTACACCCCAACCTTGTGAGGTGCGACCGGCACACGACGCCCGAAGGCCTATGTGAACCGACATCTGTTAATACATTTTCTTAGTAATAAAAACCTGGGCCAACCAGGCCTCCAATTAATAATACCAAATTTTGAAATGTGTAGGACTGACTTCAAAATAAATATTGACATTTTATACAAATTTACAAATGTAACAGAGTCATAATCCACCATTTTTCATACAATCAAACTCTAGTTTGCAAGACTCTAAAAGTACCAAAAGAATTAAACATATACACACTTAGTCGGGACAGGGCCCCACTATACCGAAAATATTTAGAACATGTGCTTCAATACCTATTTGACTTTGAACATCTATTCCAAAGGAATGGAGAGCAACGACCAATCTACTGGAACAACACCCAACTGGGGAGGGACATCACCTGGTCTATCTATACCTGTAGGCATAAACACAGCGCTCCAAGAAAAGGGCGCAAGTACAAAAAATTTACTGAGTATGTAAGACTAAGGGATCGTTTGGTAGGGTATAAGAATAATGCGGAATAAGGTGTAATAGTAATGCATGGGTTAGTAATGCAGCATTAGTTATGTATATATTATTTCTTATTTACTGTTTGGTGTGGTGTATTAAAATTATAATGCCTTGCATAATTTTTAAGAAAAATAGTTGTTACAAAAATGTCATCCATATTCTCTAGCTTTAAGGGACTTTAAGGACAATTTTATCTTTAACCATACTAATGCATGCATTAATAGCCTTGGCATTACTAATTCCATGATTTTCTATGCATTACTTATACAAAGGACAATACCAAGTATGATGTATAATTAATGCAAGTATTAGTTATACACAAGTTAAAAAAATATACCAAACAAAGTATTAATATTGCATAGAGCTAATGCTTGCATTGTGTTTTCTAATACCTCCTACCAAACGACGCCTAAGAAATTAAGCATGTAAATCAGAGTCATTAGCATAAGAGATATGGGTACGTGATTTCAACCTGAATACGAAGACAAGCCACCGATATCATAATCTGTGGAAACTATAAATCATGTATCATGAATATGTGCAAGCTTTTGTAAGACCATACCACTCATTGGGGCCACGTATTATTTATAGTATCTATATATACATATATTCAGCCACTCTTGGGCATATTTTACCACTCCATACTCGGCCTCATAGCGGGCTCGGTCGTACCGAGCCTTAGGAGATCTCGATCTTACCCAGTCTCACAAAATCTCTGTGTACCCGGTCTCAGAAGGAATCAGTAATGATTCATATCACATCACTCCATACCTAGCCTCGTAGAGGACTCAGTCATACCCGGCCATTCAAGGGCTCGGTAATCTCACATTACACATCATCGTACCTGGCCACACAAAGGCTCGGTAATATCTCATATATTGTCTCATCACACCCAACTGATTAGTGATTGCACAATAGGTATCGTACCCGACCGTCTATAGCGCGAGTCGGTAGAATAAAATAGATACATACACATAGAAGTGCAATGCAGAATCAATTTCAAGAGATATCAAGTTTATACTTAGGATGAATCATACATTCCGACCACAGGATACCAACTGGAGACATTTTAGACTTTGAAAGAAATGCTACGAGCAAGAATGTACAAGAATGGTATAACATCATTGAGAGGGACTCAGAACAACCAAATTCTCACAATACAGAAATCCTTTAGAGAGAGAGGGAGAGAGAGAGAGATTACACCGAGTCATGCCAAGAAAGAAAGTTGTCCTACATACCTTGTTGAAAAATTAGCTACGCTTCTAGGATTGGTTAACCCCGCCTCCGATGAACCCCTAAAGGCCATACAACAAGACAATAGATATTACAGTGATGATTCCAAGCTCCTTCACGCTAGATCCTTCTAGATTCACCTTCGAACTTGACTTAAATTGCTTGGGAATTCTAAAGAATGTTGAGAGCATTTGGAAGAACTAATATTGGTGATAACTCCTCAAATGAAAGAGAAAGAGCCTCACTGCCCTTTTTATACTATTACCAAGCATAGGAAATTTCGCCGCTCCTCATGCAAAATGGGTCGTCCCGCCCTCGTCACTGCACCCGGTGAGACATCTGGTGCTAGTCCCCTGATACGTGCAACCACCTTTTGAACTCATACGTAGCATTGGCAGATTGGGTGAGCTAGAAGCCAAACTTACCAAACTTTTTTTAGGTGTGGGGCGTAATATGATCAAACGACAGACTTGCTTACCAAGGTGATCACGTTATGTCCAAGCTAGGGATGAAAAACATCTTCATATTCCGTAGCTTGAGGGGGTGTGAGAAGAATATACACATGTGTGGTATTAGTTAGACTAACTTAGCTTACCTTATGATAAGGTAACCCCAGTTAGGTTTATAGTTGCATTGGAACGAGAGTTATTTTGTACACTGTATTAGTTAGTTGTTAGGAAAGTTAGTTGCAAATATAGATATATACACGTGTACATGTAATCGGGTACTTTGCTCATTGAGCTGAATAGAAAATACTTCGCAAATGTTCCGTCTATAATTTCTCTCTTTCTTCCTCACTTTACACAGCTTGAAAAATAATTTCTCTTAACTTTTATATGATATGTTCTAGGGTATTTCGTGACTTCATTTTTCTTTGCGGTCCAACTTGATTTCCTTTTCTCTTGTCCAAGAAAGAAATCTAACTGAAATCCCGACACATTGTTCTTTCGTTCTTGGTTTCTTTGTCCATGGAAGCAGATGCGGAGTCAAGATTTGAAGGTTATGAGTTCGGAGTTCTAATCCTTTTAAGTTACTAGGTTCTATATCAATAATTAGTACATATTCAATATATTTCATAAGATAATACAGAGTTTGGACCAAAACTACTGGTTCGGCCGAACCCGCAACTCATGGGCTAGCTCCGCCCCTTCATGGAAGAAACTTGGAAAGTAAATTTATCCAACTAGCTTTTGCAACCTCCCATAAATCCTTGAAGCATCCATGCCTAATCTCGTAACTTTCACCTACAAACATGGGGACAAAAAGAAAATCATGGTTTGATTAGCTATGTATTTACTATCTACATTTTCCGTCTTCTTTTTTAGTTACCAGCCAAAATAAATAAAAGAAAAAAAATCACCTGAGCGTGGATTGTATGAAAAACGTTATTGCCAAATGTAGAAAAATTAGCGGAGACAACTTCAGCTCCCTCTTCCTCTGCAATGCTTATGACTTCATACAAAGTGAAATTCTTTGTCAATCCACTTATCAAAATCACTTCTAGACTTGGACCCAATTCTTTAACTTCAATTACTGGTGATTTTATGGAAGTAGACATCGATGTCTTAGGGCTATTGCTCTCCCTTGTGCCTCGTGCTATTTGAATTTTCCTTTTCAATGTCTCTACTTTTTCTCTTACTTTCTTAATGTAAGTTGTAGCTTGATCGAGTTGATCTTGTTGTGGCAGCATGTGCTGAAATGTTTCATGAAATGTTTCATCAATTACTCGCTTGAAACTCATGCACCTTAATTTTAAGTGAGATTGTAATTTAGGTGTTTAATAGGCACATATTGTTGCGTGTTAAAGTGTCTAATTAGTACAAAAATTAGTTTTGATGTATAAATGAAAATTAGCGTCAACTTTTACAAATTTCAGTACTCATATTGAGATATCAACCAAAGACGGTGATTCCAGGGCATTGTATAGGCTGGATAAATAGTGTTGGCAAATTAATACTTGTACGTACTGACACTACACTGGACCTTTGCCAAACAGAACACAGTACTAACAACACAAAATATCACATGGATCTGCAAAAAGAAAGGAGATTGCAGGATATTGGTTAGATTTGTAATGTTAGCACAAAAATGTTAGCACAAAAGTGTCAGCCATTGTCTAATACTCGATGGTCAAGAGAGAATAATAAAACCCAAAGCGATTGTTAAAATAGTCCCACATTGTTGTAAAAGGAGTAATTAGTCTCTTTATATGATCTTGAAAAATCATCGCCTTATACTTAGCTTTTAAAATTGAGTTAGACTTTTAGTCCATTCATTTTTAACTTGATATTAGAGCCAGACATAAATGTCCAGTCCTGGGCGTGGAAGAGGGAGGAGGGGAGAGCAGGGTGTAATTAGAATAGCTTCACATCAATTGTTCATAGGATAATTAGTCTTCTTTATATAGTCTTGGATGATACTAGTCTCATGATTTTATTTTTGCATTTAAGTTAAGCCCAAAGACCATTCTTAACAGAAATAGATGAAGAGATAGAGTGGTTGTGCAAAAGGAGAATTCGAGCGTCCTAACCAAAAACTCTTAAGGCAATACATGGAATGAACTAGAATGAGAGGTGGAGCTAAGATTTGAACTTTATGGGTTTTAAATTCTGGAATAATGGCATCATGTGTTAGTAACTGGTTTTTGCATTTAATTTTTGTACATCTTTAGTGAATTTCTTAATAAACATATATTATCTTTGGACTATCGGGTTCCGCCTTCTAGCTCTGCCACCGACTAGAATATCATAAACTCCTTTGAATACTGTTACATATGGTAAGAGACAAGTGTATTCTCCGACAATTTGGTCGGAATTTTGGCGGACAAAGTACTTACGTACGATAAGTTAGTAAATCTCCATTCACGAAAGAGAAAAAGAAACAAGAAGAGCATATATATAGTAGGCTTTCTAAATATTAAACTTAAGTAAAGTATGGAGTTAAATATTTTTCCTAAATTCATGACGGATATCATAAAATTCTGTCATGAGTTTTACACACTTATTTTTTACATAAACATGTACACACATACGCGCGCGCACACAGGCCACAGCCCATCTAAAAATTAACCATTGTTTCTTTTCCAGGTAATTACCCAAAGCAACGGAAATACTTATGGTTATTACTTATTATCTGTGTGGTTTAGGAAAATCCATTGCTCTATTTTATATTTGAATTTAAGTTTTATATTTATATATATATATATATATATAGTGTGTGTGTGTGTGAATTTATTTTTAAATTCATTATATTTCTATGTGGGCGCTAGAGAAAGAAGTATTCATGTGAACCGAACGCATATACAAATGTTCAAAGGAAATTAAATTACACATCCAAAGAGTGTGGTAGCCTGGATGAGATCTCTCCCCCTTTGGTATAAAACGTTTCTCTCTTTAATGACTCCTACTCAATGCGTATCCGAATTAGTTGAGCTAATGCATTTCGTATACATTATACAAAAAGAGTCAATATTAGAGAAATATTTGTGGCAAAAGATGAATCGTAAAGATGTTCCTTCGCAGAAGTTAATTATGTGATATCTCCTTCATATTTAATAATTATAAGTCGGAATGAATTTTACTTCAAGTACTTATTAGAAAGTTGAGATGTATAGAATTATTTATACGAAGAAAAAAGTAGAAGAAGAAGTTGAGTTTACTGTACCTTGGAGGGCTTGAAATGCTGGGGAGGAATGCGAAAAATAAGCTCGGAACAGAGATATTTCATATGAATTCTTCTGTTCCTCTCCACCGTTTTCCGATCAGGCTTTTCTGAAGAAACTTTGGACGGACTTGTAGTTTCCATTAAATTCTTGATGACTGCCTTTCTTAAAACCAACCTTAATAATTCTCGAGATAGGAAAATGAAAAAAAGAAGAGCACAATCATTGTCCCTGGAAGCAAACCATTGAGTTACTATTGAGGTAAAGAGCTGCTAAAAAATTATATGTTCATGTGAAGATTTGGATTCTGGGAATTAGGGGTTCCTTTTCTAGGATGGTAGCTTCAAGAGTATTTATAGAGGGTATTTTATAGCTAGGTTACAGTAGTTGCGGAGACACCTTTTAATATGGGGCATCATCTGACGATGCTATATATATACACAAAGTACTAAATGTTAATTTGAGACCGAAAATAAAGCTTTAAAATTATCAAAATTTCAAACCTGAATCACGTAAAAATGGACTTGTGAGAATATACCATGTCATTTTCACAAATATGTCAATGGATTAAAGGAAGAAAATCGTGTTGAACTATACCAAAAAAAAAAAAAGAATGATGAAAGAGAGGTGGAATCTTCATTTCTGTCAATAATTTTGCAGGTCCCACATATTAACATACTGTATACTAAGTATACCATATATGGAGAATTTTTAGGAAAAGACTATCGTCAATCCTTAGGGTTTGTATGCGCAGATAGAGATCGAATGCCCAAAAGACCTTGACTTTATGGCGCCGCCGCGCTTACACCGACCACCAGTATTTATTACAGTAAAGCACATGCAAAACGATCATATAAGCTAATTATACCAACATGCAAATTCTAAATATGCGACCACACTTTTCCGTAGGTTATTAGTCTTTTGCAACCTATAATTATCTAGTCTTTTTCTATTTACAGACATATCGTATTCCAACTCCACCCTTACTGTGCCTTCCTCTAAGTTACAAGTCTAGCTTGGTCTATACGGATTACCAGTAGGACTTCAATTAGTCTGTGTGTTGAGCTAATTTGACGACGTTGAGGCCAATATTCTCTCACTTGATCTTTGCAAAGGTTGTTGTGAAGATTATTAGACGTACGCCTTATCCTTTTAGACTCAGTCAAAGGGAGTTGGAGTGTGGCTCGTGCAAGGCTGGGATGAGAGGGCGTATTGGCCCATGGACCGCATAGCATTGGGTAGGAAATCTGGATTAATTCAGAGCTAGTTACGCCGTAGTTACGCTGGTGGACTGCAATACTATTGATTCTCAGGAATTTAACAGTTAATAAAGAATGCGATGATGCAAAGATATTTAATAAATTATTCCCGTTAAATAAAATAACAAATATCTTCACAATATAATTTAAAACCCCATTGAATAATGCAAGCAAATTACAAGAATCGAACACCTAACTAACAATTAAAATACCATATCTGTCAAGACCCTAAAGGAAAATTAATCCATAAAAGTGGAGGAAGTCATCATAGATAAAGTTGAAGCAACAAAAAATATTAATGTTATAATCCCAACTTCAGTATTGAATAAATGGATGGTTGGCGAATTCTTGTGTCTTGAAGCCTCCAATGCTCTCTTAATATTCCGTAGACCAAAAGTCCTTCAAAAATTGTATTATTGACGTATTTATATTGTGTACAAACAAACTAGGACCAAAATACCCTTAATGAGATAAACTAAAAAAATTTGGCAGTGAAATGTTCTGCCACGTCGCCCTAAGCAACAAGTAGGGCGTCATACTAGTGTATTTCTCCGAGGTATTAGTTTCTGATCCCTCAACGGATACAGCCATTCTATAAGGAGGGATGGATATCAATTGAGTGTCTGGAAGCACATCAATGACGAATTCAATCTCCCACTTGGCAGGATTACCAGGAAGCTCGTCTAGAAATACATCTGGATATTCATTCGCCACCGGAATAGACTGAAGGGTTGGTGGTTATGCATATACATCTCTTACCCGAACTAAATGATAAATGCAACCTTTAGAGTTCATCTTTCGTGTCTTGAGATAAGAAATAAACATACCCTTAGGCGTCGCTGAACTACCTTCCCATTCCAAGACTGGCTCCCCCGGAAAATGGAATGAGACAATCTTTGTCCAACATTCAACATTGGCATAACAAGATGCCAACCAGTCCATGCCCATAATAACATCAAAGTCTATCATTTCTAGCTCGCCTAGATCCGCCGAGGTTTGATGGCTACAAATTATTAGCTCACAACCTCGATAAACTCGTCTAGCAATAACCGATTCACTAACCGATGTAGACACAACAAAAGGGTTACTTAACAACTCAGGTGATATACCAAACTTCCCTGCAACAAACAGAGTGACATACGATAAAAAAGGCGAGAAGAAAAGGAAAAGCCAAGATGGAAGAGACAGGTACTGCATAAGGGATGACCAGAACTGGCAGAGTTTATACACCCGAGAATCTTGGAAGAATAAGCAAAGAGACCATATCTAAGCCACTTGTCATGGAAAAAGGCACTGATGATCTTTGGAGAAAGGTACACGTGAGGGAATACTCTATTGTTGATCACCTGAACAAGACTCCTGCCCAAATATACATCTTGTCGCTATTGCAAAATTCAGATGCGCACAAGAATGCCTTGATGAAAGTATTAGGTGAAGCTTATATGCCTATCGATATCACCAGTGGAGAGATGACCAATATAGTAGGATAGTACTAGAGAGGCACAAAATTACTTTTCACGAAGATGAGCTACTGCCAGAAGGGTTGTGTCATAACAAAGCTTTGCACATCACGGTGCAATTGGAAGACAAGTTCATTGTCAGGGTTCTGATAGACGGGGTTTCGAGCTTGAACATACGCCTACTGACCACTTTGAAAAGGTTGGGTAAAGGTATGCATGAGATACAGATGGGAATCATGAATGTGAATGCGTTCGATGGGTCTTAGAGAGCCACTATCGGAGAAATCAACCTTGACTTGTAGATGGGACCGACCTGGTTCAATATTGAATTCCAAGTGCTAGACATATCCGCCACCTACAACTTGTCATTGGGACAACCGATGATACATGTAGCTGGGGCAGTTGCTTCTACTCTACATCAGGCTGTGAAGTTCGAGTGGAATCATCAAGAGGTGATTATTCACGGAGATAGAAGCAACCCTATCTACACTAACCAGACTATGCCAGTTATCGAGAACATGAGGAAATTGAGAGGAGAAACATACCACCATATTAAGCGAGTAAATGCAATTGAGAAGGATTGATGGTAGAGCAACAAGATAGAAAGCATACTGATGTGGTTGGGGTATAAACCAGGCAAGGGTCTTGGCAGAAAGCTTTAAGGGATCACAGAACCAATACGACCACAATATCATGGAACAACCTTTAGCCTTGAGTATGAATATATTGTGCAAGAATACCATGATTGGACATCGTTGTGGTGCGCCGATTACTATCCATTGGAACAACCTATATCATTGCTGCACCAAACATTCTGTCGGACTGATGTCATCTGAGTATCCGAGGAAGATGGGGTTTTGGCCGGTATGAGGAAGTTATTTCTGGACAAGGAAGATATGGACTATAGTGCAATTTTAGAGGAGGATGAGAAGGAAGAACTTACCATTCAAACAGTGGGAGAAGGAGCCGTTCTCAAGAACTAGCTTGCTGCACTATCCCGGGCTCATCGAGTACCTGGCTTAATTATTACATATCCTGATGAACCTATGATTGTGACATGTAATGAGACGCAACATAAGGAAAGTGATGCGGAAGATTTGGAATATGATATATAATACCTATCGCGCCCCTTCTTTCCTCCGCGGAGAAAGTTCGGGTTCCAACATTCATGGGGGTTAATAACTCATTTCCTTTTTGGGAATTTGGGTTTTGAAGAGTCGCCACCTAACGAATTATGGTACGTAAGGGCACCTAGATTGATTAACTCTTAGATTGGTTTGCATTACCAGAGATTTAGGGTAAGGTCTCAAAATAACCTTGAGGGGAAGGTGTTAGGCACCCCTCTCGGTCCACAACGGTGGATCCCGGCCGAACTTATACTTATGAACTAGTCCTTTAACAAATAAATAGCTTAAAGACATAATTACAAATAAGAGGAGGTTTTGGACATTACATGACTCAAATAATGAGACAAAGGAAAGACTTGAATAAACTGTGTACATATAGAAAAGTAAAGTTTAAGCAAAGGGAATTTGGAAAGGAGGGGTCCTAGGTTGGTTAGCTTACAGGATCACCCCACGCAATGCCCGGTAAATACTCCTCAATGAGGGTCTACACGTGACATTAGCGTGTAGTCATCATATCCCTTTTCTACCCATTATCCTACCCATTAGTGGTTATCAAGCGAGTTTTTATTTAATGAACTCTAAGTGTGATGCTACCCGTCCCTTCCTTGTGATCCCGGAGGAGTTTAGGACCTCTAAATCTGGGCAGTTCTAGACTACCCCTAAGGTATTTTAAAAGGAAAAAATTCTAGGCGATAGGAAAGAACACATAGGACTTAACAGATAAATGCAGAAAGAAGCAGTTAAGAGGCCCAGGTTTACCTCCACAAGTAACACACATAAGCAGCATGTCTCAAACACAAACAAGAGCAGTTTTTATTAGAGAAAAGACCTAAACAGGATATTTAAGTGGATGCCAATGCACAGAAATATGCAACTTTATTTTTTATAAACTCGACAGTAAAGTCCTAATCAGTTTGCCTACTGATTTGAAACATGTAAGTCGTTAAGCAGTAAACACAAACGAAAATAGTTCTCCAGTTTTACGCAAATTGATTACCTAAGGCTTGCCTAGGCGTGGGATCATGCATAATAGTTACAGAATCATTAATAGTTCAAGAGTTGTTTCTTGCCTAAAGCATGTTGAGACTACAGGGATTGTTACCAATTTTATTTGAAACAAGACGATTATATGTGAGACTATTTTTACATCCTTTAATAATTAGTGTCGCGGCCCCTTTTTCTAGAGCGAAATCGGGTTTATGACATTTGGAAGGACAACTCGTTCCTTTTGAAAACTGGGTTTGAATTTGAAGAGTTGCCACCTAATGATTAGGGTACATTAGGACACCAAAAGAGTTTGATTTTGAACAACCAGAGATAGGGTAAGGGCTTGAAATTATTCCAAGGGAAAGGTATTAGGCACCCCTCAGAATCCACTAGTGTGGTTCCCGGCCAGACAATTATTGTGAATTTGGGGTATAATTAACATGTAGACAAATAAAGCTTAGATAGGAGGGGATTTCAC